CATGTAGCACATCTGAATTATTTTTACCTCCCCTCCACCTTCTTCTCTGCCCTCTCCCTCCTCTTGCTCCCATTTCTACTTGAAAAAGATCTGTCTGGTTGTTTATCTATCTTTTATTTTGCTCTTTCATTTACTTATACTTTGTTTTTTTCATGTAAGAGAAACAGTTGCATTTGTGTGTCTGATCTATTTCACGTAACATTATGGTTTTCAAGGTACATCTAATTTCCTAAAAATGGCTCAAATTTATCCTTCTTTATGGTAAAATAGTACTTCACTGTGTGTACATTTTATGTTTTCCTTTACCCATTCATCTGTTGATGGGCATATAGGGTGGTTCCATGATTTAACTAGTATGAATTGTGCTGCTATATACACGAGTATGATTCTATCATTATAATCTGATGTTTTTAATTCTATGGAAAGATACCTGGAAGTGGAGTGGCCAGGTCAAATAGAATTTCTTATTTTAGTTTTTTGAGCAATCCCTATGCTGATTTCCATAGTGAAGGTATAATTTACATTCCCACCAACAGTAGAGAAGGATTCCACTTTCCCGACAGCCTTTCCAATATTTGTTACAATCTGTTTCCTTGATAACAACCATTGCTTCTGGAATAAGATAGAATCTCAGTGTTGTTTGATTTTTCATTTTTCTAGTGGCCAACAATGTGGGAGGCTCTAGGAATTCATATGTGGTCTGTTTTGGAGGAGGTTCCTCATGCTGTTGAGAAGAAAGTGTATTCTAGGGTAGTAGGTAGAACAGCTTGTACATTTCCATAAAGTCGCTTTGTTCAAATACAGGCCTCATCTCTGAAAGTTCATACATTTTTTATCTAGTTGATCTGTTTGTGAAAATGGGGCCTTAAGGTCACATCTATGGTTATATTGGTGTTTATTTGGCCTGTTTTATGTTTTTATGATGTTGGTACACCAATACTCAGAGCAGTGTATTTTCAATGATTATTATAAATATTGTTTAATTTCTTTTTTAATTTTATTTGTGACCCATTGATTGTTCAGGAGGATGAGGATGTTATTAATTTCCACGAGTTTATGGAACTTTTGCAGTTTCTTTTGTCAATAATTTCCAGTTTCACTGTACTATGGTCAGACATTATGCAAGGGATAATTTCAATGCCTTTGTATTTACTTAAGAGTGCTCCATGTGCTAGTATATTGTCTATTTTGGAGAATGCCCCATGTGCTGCTGAGAAAAATGTGTATTCTGACATTGCTGGGTGGAATACTCTGTAAAGGTCTACTAAGATCTTTCTTCACAAATTTGGTTTAGTTCTTATATTTTTTGCTGATTTTTTGCCTAGTTGCTCTATCTTTTCGTGTCAATGGGTGTTAAAGTTGCTCATACATTTGTGTTATTGCTCATTTAATTTTTCATGTCTATTAAAATTTGTCTTATATAGTTAGGTGCTCCTACAATGTATGCATATATATTTGTGATTGTCATCTCTTCCTCTTGCAGTTGTCCCCTAACAAGTATATAGTGACCTTCCTTATCTCTTTTAATCACTCTTAGTTTGAAGTTCACATTGTTAGCAACTAGAATAGCTACCCCTGCTTTTTTCTGAGTTTCTGTCACATGGGGTAGTTTTTCATCCTTTGACTTTTAGTCTATAAATTACTTTTTGCATTGAATGTGTTTATTGTATACAGCAAAATTTGGATTTTGTTTCTTTTTCTTTTTTTAGTTTTTATTTTTCATGTATTTAGTACAGGGTCTCCAGGGTCTCATTATACAGATCTGACTTGTAATCCTCCTGTTTTCAGCCTCCCAAGCACTGGGATTACAGGCGCACACCACTATGCCCAGTCTCAATTGCCATCTCAGTGCACCCTGAGGCATGACTGGCATGGCATGCTAGGAATCGAACCCTGATCCCTGCATCTGCTAAGCAGGCACTTTAATCTACTGAGCTATCTAGCCAGCCCAGTGGATTTTGTTTCTTTTTTTTAATGTATTTACTACAAGGTCTATAGGGTCTCACTACACAGATTGGACTTGTAATGCTTCTCCTGTTTTCAGCCTCCCAGGTGCTGAGATTACAGGTGCACGCCACCACACCCAGTGTCAATCGCCATCTCAGTGCACTCCGGGGGTGGGGCTGGCACAGCATGCTGGGGATCGAACCCCAGTCCCTGTGCTTTGCCTAAGCAGGTGCTTTAGTCTGGGATTTTGTTTCTTGATCCATTTTGTCAGTCTTCTTTTGAATGGTGAATCGAGGCCATTTACATTGATGGTTATAACATATGTATTGGCTTATCTTTGTCATGTTATTTTGCTCCTATGGGTTCTCTACTTTTCTCCTCTGTTTCATTGCTTTCTCTACTTTGTGGTTCTCTTCTATTGTTGTTTTTGAAGTTGTGATCTTTCTTTTTTTCTTTTTCTAGAATATAGTACTCTTTGTAAGGTTGGTTTGGTGGTCATGAATTTCTTCAGCTGTTCTTTGTCATGGAAGTTGCTTATCTCTCGATTAAACTTAGTAGATAGTTTTGCAGGGTACATCAGTTTGGGTTGGAGTTTGTTTTCTTTCAGGACCTGAAAAACTTCAGTCCAAGCTCTTTTTAATTTGATGGTCTGTCTTGAGAAATCTGCCATGATTCTGACGGGCTTTCCACTATAGATGATCTATTGCTTTTCTCCAACAGCTTTTAATATTCTGTTCTTTTGGTGACTTTCTGGGATCTTGATTATTGTGTGCTGGTTTATTTTGATTATGACTAATTGAGTTTTATATGCCTCCTTGAACTGTATGTCAGATTATTTCCCCATGCTTGGAAAATTTCCTGCTACTACTTCTGCAAATAGTCTTTTGGGGCTATGGAGATAGAGCAACACTTTAAGCACCTGGCTGGCAAACACAAGAACCCAAATTCAATCCCTGGTACTGCATGCCATCCCGGCCCCAGGACCCCAGCCATGCCATACAAGCCCCAAAACTGGGCATGGTGGTGGACATCTGTAATCTCAGTGCTGGGGAGTCTGAGACAAGAGGATCACTATGAGTCTGAATTGCATAGTGAGACCCTGTATCAAATAAATAAATACATCATTTTTAAAAATAGTCTTTTTATACCATGATTCCTACTGTTTCATTGATATCTATCAGTCTTATATTGTTTTTCTCTGCATCTTTTGCTTGTTATTTCTTGGCTCCTCTTTTTTTTTTTTTTTTTTTGCGGAACCAGGGATTGAACTCAGGCCCTTGAGCTTCCCAGGCAAGCGCTTATTCTACTGAGCCATCTCCCTGGCCCAAGCTCCTCATTTTTAAGAGATCTTTCTTTGCATGTTCACTAGCTGCAATGCTATCTTCAGGGTTTGAAATTCTATCTTCATTTTCATGCAAGTGGTTTTACCAGCTTTCAGTGGAATTCTTAATTTCCAGGACATCTCTTTTAATCTGTTTCATGCATTCTAATTCTTTCCTGTATTGCTCATTCAATGTTTCTATCATTTTCCTGTTCCTCTCCATTTTTATCTGTCTTCTTTTGATGTGCTAATCAATTCTCTCATGATTGTTATCATCTCTTTTTTTACCTTGGAGATTATTTCTGATCTAATTTCTTTTATAGTCTGATGGAGTTGTTTCTTTATTTCAGTTGTTATTATTTCAGAAATTTTAAGCATGTAATTTTCAAGTTCTTTTGTAACCTTGTCTTATGGACTTGTTCTGGGTGGGTTGGAGGTCTGAGATTTCCTTTTGTTCCTTCCTTCTGACTTTTTTCTTTTTTTTGGCAGAACCGGGGATTGAACTCAGACCCTTGTGCTTGCCAGGGAAGCGCTTATTCTACTGAACCATCTCTCCAGCCCCTCTTCTGACATTTTTTAAACTTCTAATGTTCACTCGCACTCAACAGTGATGGCAGGGGGGTGGGGTGGGGGGTGGGTGAGCAAGGCTCCCATGACAGTGGGAGGGCAGGGAAGGGCTCACCAAGTCTCCCACTACTGGTGGGAGAGGTGGCCACAGCTCAGCTGAACTCTAGCAATGGCAGAGGGGAGGGCAGAGCAGGGCTTACCAAGTCCCTGTAGGTATACTGTGCTCACCTGTCTTCTGCAATGGTAAGAGAAGCTGCCACAGGTCAGCCAAGCTCTGCAGTGATGGGGAAGGGGACCAAATCTGTATCTTTTAACTGGGGAGTTGAAGTCATTTCCATTTAGAGTTATTGCTGAAATGAGTTGAGCCAATTATTCCTGACATCACACTCTTTTTCTATTGTTGACTCATTTTCCTCTTATTTATAACTACTTACCATGCTTGAGCTCTTTATCATATCCAAATATTTGGCTGTCTTGACTTTGTTGTCTCTGTCTGGGATAGTCTTGAGTATGCACTGGAGTGTAGCTTGTTGTTCACGAATTTCTCAAGTTTTTTTTGTCATGTAGTGTCCTTATTTTACCACTAATTTTAAGAGATGATTTTGGAGGCTACATTGTTTTCTGTTGAGGCACAGTTTTCATCCTCCAGGACTTGGCAAAGACAGCCTGCCCTTCCTCTTGTGTGACTGTACTGAACTTCTGGAATCTCCACACAGAGCTGCTTCCCACTGTTGGGCTTCCCCTTTTTTTGCCAATCCTTCCTGACCCACAGGTCAAGTGTCAGCTTGATAGTGTTTGAAGAGCGCTGTCCCAACTGGACGGAAATGTGGCATCAAGATCTTGGAGTTTGGGATCTCACAAAATTAACTTAGAAATGTGATGATTTAGGCAGACTCCACATAGAGGTAACAGGGCTGAAACAGGTTTCTACATACACCAGACACATGAAGAGGATGCAATTAGCTATGTAGCTGGGGCCTAACAAAAACAAAAGGGCGCACACCAGGAACAAATGCCAGAGGCAAGCCAGTGGTAACCAAGCGGGAAGACTGCAGCATTCTCCAAGATGCTACAACACCTGGGACCTGAGTATAAATGCTGCTCAGGGAGGGTGGGAGGCTACAGACATCGTCACCTCCTCCCAGCCACAGCCACCTCAGCCACTATGTGCCACACCAGCTGCTCCTCGTGCTGCCAGCCAGCCTGCTGTGTGTCCAGCCCCTGCCAGGCTGCCTGCTGCGTGCCTGTGAGCTGCAAGCCCGTCCTGTGCGTGACCCCTTCGTGCCAGTCCTCAGGGTGCTGCCAGCCCTCCTGCCAGGCCTCTCTGTGTGTTCCCATGAGCTGCAGGCCTGCCATATGTGTGGTTCCCTCCTGCCAGTCCTCAGGATGCTGCCAGCCCTCCTGCCAGGCCTCTGTGTGCCTCCCCATGAGCTGTGGGCCCTCGCTGTGCATGGTCCCCTCCTGCCAGTCCTCAGGCTGTTGCCAGTCTTCCTGTCCTGCCCTCCTCTGTAACCCTGTCTCCTGTGGCACCTCCTCCTGCTGCACTTCATCTTGTTGCTGACCTCTAATCTCCATGCCAGCTGCTCAGGACAGAAGGAACACTGCAGTATGCTCCCTGCACTAGATCTCTGTGACCTATGTTTATGGCCAGCCCTCCTCTACAACTCTGTCTCCTGTGGCACCTTCATCTGCTGCTGACTTCCTCTCTCCATGCCAGCTGTCCACTGAAGAGGTGACACTCTTATGAACTCCTAGCACCAGATATCTGTGCCCAGGTTCACCTCTTGATCTGACCTGCTAGACTGCTGTCTAGAATCCAGCAGAGGGCTCCAGGGCCTTCCCTCTCTATCCATCTCCAGTGAATGCTCTGTTCCACAGTGTCCCCATGTACCATATTGGAGCCAAATAAATATGCTTTCCCAGGGCAGCTCTGCGGTCCTGTGCTTCCTTTTTATATCCACATTTCCTGTCTTTCAAGTGTACTGATTCAATTTTAGGCACCTCTGTGTGCCCCTGTGTGTGCCTCCTTGGGGTCCTGGGAGCGGGCACTTAGCAGAGACAGCTCAGACCACTGAGCATTGGTGCTTCCATCCATCTCCTCAATGATTCTTGTGCTTGGGCTGGAGACTTCCTTCCACAGGGTGACTTTTGATTCCTGGATTCTCACACTCGTAGGACAGGATTGGCTTCATATCTCTCCCCTTCATGGGTGCACAGACATCTATTGTTTTGTGATTGAAGACTAATTATCACCCACCTACAAACCACACAGGTACTCACTCACCACCATGGAACTGGAACACAGGGCCTATTTGCCAGTCATGTCTCAGGGCAGCTGCTGCCCAGTTATGTGCTCACTATTTCTGTGTCTTCTAAAGAGCCTGCTGAATCACCTCCTTCAGTGTGTCAGAAGTGTGAATTTTTGACTTTAGTGATTTCTGCCTTTGGGACACATGCTGAGTCTCTGGAAGTGCCTGCGCTCCACATGGAGGATCATGTCAAACATAAACACTCTTTGAGTGAGTTCATGAAGACTTGTGCCATGTACTCCCTCCACATATGTGCAAATGCCATGTGCACACCCAGGCACACTCTCCCACAACCCTGACACTCTTGCTTGCAGTCATGTAAACACTGACTGGGAGCTGGGATGAATCAGTAGGAGAGATGGAGGGCTTCCCTGTACTTCCCACTTCTGCTCAGGGACAGGATGCTGTCCTAAGTCCCATCTCTGTGTTCTGGCCATCCATGGGGCAGGTCTCAGGAAGTGGCTTCAGAACCAAGTGCTGCAGATTGCATCTAAATGCCCCTGCAAAGGCTTGTGGGTCAACAGCTTAGTCAGCAGTACAGCAATATTCAGAGGAAAGACTATGGGAAGTGTGTGGATCATCAGGACTCTGATGTCATCAATGGATTAACTGACTGATGATCATCCCTGCATGGACCGTTGGGTGGTGTCAGATGTACTAGGAGTGAGGCCAAGGTGCAGGGTATGTTTCACTGGGGTATGCCCTGGAAGGTGTGTGAGGTGTCCCCTGTCCTTGTTCTCTCTACTTTCTGGCGGCCTGACGTGAGCAGTCCTGCTCTGCCATGTGATTCCTGATTATTTCTTCCCTCACCACAGGCCCAGAGTCAAGGCAGAGCCATGTGGCCGTGGCCTGAAGCTCTGAAGCTCCTGTTCAGTGCTACCACATGCGCACACTTCTGTGAGGTCTGCCTTAGGGACACATGCTGGGTCTCAGGAAGTGTCTGTGTTCCACACAGAGGATTGTATCAACCATAAACCCTCTTGGTGAGTTCATGAAACCTTGTGCCAAGTCACGCTTTTGCCAGCAGCTATGAAAATTCTACTTACTCCACCCTGACACAGTACTACTGATGCTTGCTTTGGTTTCATTTTTTTAAAGTTGGATTTGTTAAAGTAGAACTCACATACAGTACAACTTACTCTCTGGAGGTGGACTTTCAAGATATTTTTAGAAAATGCAGTGTGTATGTACCATAGTCATCTCTTCTGAAACATTGGCATTGCCCCCATATTTCTTCCTATCCTTTGTAATTGGTTCCACAATTCTGCTCCCCAGCTCTAATATTATCTAAGTGGACTCTCACATTATTAAGTTTTCTTATCTTCTTCTTTGCCTTTGAATCACGCATTGAGACTTACCAATACCAATACAGATATTGGAAGTTTTCACCTTTGACTTTCTTTAGTTAGGGCATCTGGTCTACCGTGGTTTGTTAACCACTGAACAAGTGATAAGCATTTATTTTACTTTGAGATTTCTGTTATTCCAAATCAATTCGGTATGAGACAAAAGCCCAGGTTTCTGTGGAAGTGATCTCCCCTTGGGTGTCTGTCAAGCAGCAAACAGTCAGAGTTCCTTTGCCAGCACTATTATGCCTGCCTGGACAAAGGCATCTTCATGGAAATCTTAAGGTCAGCAGCATGAGCTCTCTAACTTGGCTGTTTCTTCCAGAACTTTTCTAGGTAATGAGATTCTTTAACTCTCCATAAAGATAGTGGGAGAACCCTAATAATCTCCACAACAATTCATGCTGAGCTTATAAGTGAAAACATATCAAAACTACAGGCCAATTTGGGAAGAATTGGTATCTCCAGTGAGCCATTAATGTGGTCTCTTTATTTTGGTCTTCTCTGCTTTCTCTCATCGGTATTTTGCCATTTTTAGCATGAAACATTTGTACACTTCTGCCTCAAGATTTATCCCTAATTATATTGTAACTTTTTATGCTATCATAAATGGGACTATTTTAAATTTCAATGTATAATTTCTTATTGCTAGCATAATAAAATAAAATTGATTTTCTTACAGTGACCTTTATTTTTTGACCTTGTCACACTCACTAGTTCTAGTAGCTTTGGTGAATAATTTTAAAAGTATTCTAAGTAGGTAATTATATGTTAATAGAGGCTTATAGCTCTCATGAGGAGTGCCATATAGATTTTCACCATTAAGTACATGCCCTTTAAAAGATGTTCCTTTTAATCACTATTTCAATGTAGATGTAGAATTTTATTCTGAAGAGACATTGGATTTTTTTCCAGAATCAATTGAAATAATCATTGGCTTTTTCTCTTTAGTCTACTGATGTGAATTATATAAGTTGATATTTGAGCACTGAGGCACCTTGTATTCCTGAGATAAATCCCACATGCCCATAAACTTTACTTCCTTTATATATTTTTGGATTTGATTCCTAATATTTTGCTAATATTTTTGTATCTACATTCATGAAAGATATTACTATATATTTTTGTGATGTTCTTGTTCAATTTGGTATTGGTATTATGTTGACCTTATAAGATGGAATGGTTGTTTCCAAGATTTGACTATGACAAATTATACTTCTATAAACATGGGTGCACATATATCACTGTGATACGATGCTTTCAGTTCTTTTGGAGAAATACCCAGAAGAGGAATAGTTGGGTTGAATGGGACCTACAATCCTAGTTTCCTGAGGAGTCTGCACACTGATTTCCATAGTGGTTGTACCAGCCTATGTTCCCACAAACAGTGGAGAAGGGTTTCTTTATCCCCACAGCCTCTCCAGCATTTATTATTAGTTGATTTCTTTATGATAGTCATTCTTTCTGGGATGAAATGGTATCTTGATGTTTTAATTTACATTTCTCAAAAGACCAGTGCTGTGGAACATTTTTCATGTATTAATTGCCATTTGTATTTTTTCCTCTGAGAAGTGTGTATTCATTTTAGATGCCCATTTTTGGATTGGGCCTTTGAATTTTAGGGGACTGATTTTTTTCCAGTTTTTATATATCCTAGATAAAAGTCCTTTGTCTGAGTGATTTTTGGTTAAGATTTTTCTCAATTTGTGGGTTGTCTTTTAACTCTGTTGGTGATTTCTTCTGATGTGTAGAAACTTCTCAATAAGATGAGATTCCAGTTGTTGATTCTTTGAAGTATTCTCCATACAGTTTGGTTTTTGTTCATGAACTTTCTGCCTACCCCTGTGTCTTTAAGATTTTTACCTACTTTCTCCTCCAGAATATTTAGTGTTTCCATTTTACTATTTAAATCTTTAATCTATTTGGACTGTGGTTTTGTGCATGGTGATAGGCATGGGTTTAATATTAGCTGTCAGCATGTGAAAAGCCAGTTTTTCAGGCACCATTTATTAAAGAGGCTATCTTTCTTCCAGTGAACATGTTAGGCCTCTTTGTTAGAGACAAGGTGGCTGAGTGTGTTTGTAGTTGTGTCTGGGTCTTCTAATCTGTTGCATTGACCATTGGGTCCGTTTGTTTTTTTTGTTTGTTTGTTTGTTTGTTTTGTTTTGTTTTTTTTCTTTTTGCATAACTGGGGATTTAACTCAGGCCCTTGTACTTGCCAGGGAAGCACTTATTCTACTTAGCCACCTCCCCAGCCCCAAGCTGACTTATTTTATCACAGTAGCTTTATAGTATAATTTCATGTCAGGGATTATAATGCCTCCTGTCTTGCCTTTGTTGACCAGGATTGTCTTTGCTATTCTAGGTGTTTTCTTGTTCCAAATAAATTTTAGGAATGTTTTCTCTAGATCTGTGAGATATGTGGATGCTATTTTGATAAGGATTGAATTAAATCTGTTTTACAATTTTGGAAGTATGGCCAATTTCACAATGTTGGTTCTTCCTATCTAGGAGCAAGGAATACCTTTCCATTTTCTGAAATTCTCTTCAATTTCTTTTTTTAGAGTATTGTGATTTTCATCATATAGATCTTTTACTTCCTTTGTGAAATTACAATTTTTAGATGCTATTGTGAAGGCTATTTTTTCTTTAATTTTTCTCAGTGAGTTTGTTATCTGTGTATAGGAGTGTTGTTTATTTTTCAGTGTTGACTTTGTATCCTGCTGTGCTATTGAATTTGTTTATTGATTTTAGGAACTTCCTGGTGGAGTTTTTTGGGTCTTTCCTCTAGAGTATCATGATGTCTGCAAGTAATGATAGTTTAACTTTTTCCTTACCTGTTCTTTTTTTTTTTTTTTCGAAAGTTTTTATTATTTTCATTTTACCATTTTGAAGTGTATAGTTCA